CCCACGTTGGTCTTCGGCTGATTCGTCCTGCCTCTGCCCCACGTTGGTCTTCGGCTGATTCGCCCTGCCTCTGCCCCACCTTGGTCTTCGGCTGATTCGCCCTGCCTCTGCCCCACGTTGTGCGCCAGATTGTAAGATGGTCTGCGCGCGAACCCCGGGTTGGGAACCACGCGCAGATACAAAAAATGTTCAAATATCGGGTAACCGTCACAGAACAGCAAGCGGTTACCTGCTGAATTAGGCCGTCACTATCCGCAAGCAACCTAATTCAGCTACACTACTTTGCAAGTTCTGAGTAAAATTAGTCACAAGACAGCAAGCTAATATACTCAGAATCGCGTCGTAGGAACTAACTTGAGAAGACAGTAATTTTAACAATATTTGTTATCTTCTAATCTTCTGATCTTCTCTGATTTGCGAATGTACATGAAATAACTTAACCTAAGGCGCATGTGATACAACATCGTGTTTTAAAATACAGGTGGCGCCATCTAGTTTTGTACGTAGAACAACTGGTTGCAGTAAATGTTTGTTACAATCTCCCCCTCAGTTTCTGAAGTCGTCCCGATGATGAAACTGGAAGATTCATGCTTCTGTTCACGTAGTCGTCTTCTTCGCAGTTGAACAGGAGCCGGCAATGATTTGGTACTTGCGGGGGTGCGAATGAATGGAGTGTACTTATGATGGTTCTTTTTGTTTCATTGAGTGTTCGTCGTCACCTTCCCCCTGGATCGGAATAGCTCCCAAAACGTATGTTTTTTTCGATGTACTACGGCTGATTCGACTTGTCCGTGTTGGTCGACAGAGTTATAGAGGAGCAGTTTGAGTGGCTACTCGTTGTTTACGAAAATGTCTATTATGGATAACCGTCACAATCCAGCAAGCGGTCATCTACTGAATTAGGTCGTCACTGTCCCGCAAGCAATCTCAATTCAATATCAAAAAATGTCAATTTTGGATAACCGTCACAATCCAGCAAGCGGTTATCTACTGAATTAGGTTGTCACTGTCCCGCAAGCAACCTAGATCAGTGTCACTACACAAAATCTCAATTATGGATAACCGTCACACTCCAGCAAGCGGTTGTCTCCTGAATTAGGTCGTCACTGTCCCGCAAGCAACCTCAATCCAGTGTCACTAGACAAAATGTCAATTGTGGATAACCGTCACAATCCAGCAAGCGGTTATTTACTGAGTTAGGTTGTCACTGTCCCGCAAGCAACCTAACTTCAGTGCACTACACAAAATGTCAATTATGGATAACTGTCACACTCCAGCAAGCGGTCATCTACTGAATTAGGTTGTCACTGTCCCGCAAGCAACCTAAATCCAGTGTCACTAGACGAAATGTCAATTGTGGATAACCGTCACAATCCAGC